TTAGCATTATAGGTGTTTTTTTTAGTTTAAGTTTGATTACTTGTTAAGTGATTAATTTTAGTTATTTTATTTTTAATTACTTTAAGAGTAGTTATTGCTAATTTCTCTTTATGACTTTTGTAGGAAATTGATGAAAAAGACTCATTTGATGAAAATCAGTGCAAGTATGGTGATAGCTTCATTCGTATATGTTTCAGTATTTTGACCATATCTCTTTCAAAAAAACTCCAAATGAGGTGATTCTTAGACCAATAGAATTATAAGAAGAAGGGATACAATGTTTATGTTTACCAATTTGCCCAGTTCTGATTGGATCATGGTCAAAATATTTGTCAAAGTCGGACCACTGCAGCAGTATGTAAAGACTGAACATGATGCAGTATTGGGAGCAAATCTTTCAATACAGAAGTCCAATTGATGTGATTTTTGATCCATTGGAAAGTTAAGAGATAGGGATAAAACTTTTATGTTTACTACTTGCCCAGTTCTTAACATATCAGGGTGAAACTCACGTTTGAAGTTGATAGACTGCCACAGCGCTGGGAGAACAAGGCTGCAGCATTGATGAAAGGAAGCACACATACAAAATTTCAGAGAGCTCAGCGCTGCAGCGCTGGAGAAGTAGCGCCGCAGCGCTGCGCGACTTTCTTAAAAAATAAGGGAAGTTAACGGGATTTCGAAAATTAGGTTATTTGGAGCCTATTTAAGGAGCCTTTTCAGAGATTTTGGAGAGGAGGCAGCAAGAACTATTCTGGAGATTTGGAGCCAAGAACAAAGCAAGAAAACAAGAGAATTGGAGAGAGAATCAAGATCATAATCTCTAACTATTATTTTCTCTCTTACTTTGTGTTTTTTCTTATTTTCTTGACTTGGATTCATGGCTAAATTTCTTTGGATATTGTCTTTATTAGATATTATGAGCTAATTTATTTTTCTAGGATTGTAATTGAACTCACATGTAATCTAGATTTTTAATCACTTTCTTGCTTATTTTCAATGGGATTTGAATTGTTTATTCCAATTTGTTCTTAATGCTTTTAATTGCTTGGCCACCAATTAAATTGATCTAGAACCTAAACAAACTTGGGAAAGAGAGTTTAGTGTAGACTAAAATTGGGATAGCATGATCATATTAATTGATTTCCGTATAGGATAGGGATATACCTATAGGCCATATGTAGCCAGATTAGAGCCTGAACTTAATGAGTTTGTTTTAATTTCAATTCACATAGGGATATAGTGTTTTGGTTAAAATAGATATTTTTATAAGATGAGTCGGGAGATCCTTATAAATATTTAAGACTCTAGGTTAGCAATTCAAACCATTAAGATAAGTTAAGGAAGAGAGGTAAATTTAGATGAAGCGTGAGGGATATTGTAATCCTAGGCTTATTTGATTTGATATTTATTTGAGTATTTATTATTTTGATTTTTTTTTAATTTATTCTGCTATAACTTAGTTTGATTTGATATATTTTTGATATTGTTTGGATAAGATTAATTTGCGATAATTTTTAGTACTTAGTAAACTTTTAGATCAATTTTCTGTGGGATCGATACTCTACTTGCTAATATACTGTCTATTCGATACGTATACTTGCGTAGTAGAATTTTAACTGACACAACATGAGGGGTATTAGTGAGTAAAACTTTACGGCAAAAAGATTTGGAAGAGTAGTCACTTCGAGGAGTTCATTTCCAAATGAGTTTATCTGGGAAATCTTTGTCCATCACTTGATTATCGAAGAGAGAACAAAAACAATCCCACTACTTATATTCCCAACCAAATATGCTTCTTCGAAATCAATTTTCCAAGCCCATCTATCCTCGAACCATTTCCTGAATTCACATATTTTCCCATCTTTTTTGAACGCGAGTGCAAAGACTAGAAAAAGCTGATTTAAGAATGCAGTCATGTGAAATATATATTTGATCACTAATGATTCTCGTTTTAAATATTGGATAACTTATTTATTTTTTATTACCATTTATAAATTCTTATTAAATTAAACTTTTCTTAATTGAAATTTTTTTATTAAATTAAATATTAAATAATTTTTTATTAACATTGAAATCCTTATTAAAGTAGCCTTTCCTTAAGTATCAACTAATTTATATTTATATGTTTTCTTGTAAATATTTCATATATATATAATAAAATAATACATATAAATATATACTATATAAAATTAACATATTACTTATACTAATTAATAATTTAGAAAATAATAACTTTAGTTAATAATTAATAAATAATATATTATAAATAAAGAACAAAATAATATCAATTTTATTTACAATATAATAATATTAAATATATTATATTATATATTAATGTCTAATATATTATGAATATATAAAGATATTATCATTAATAATTATTCATTGTAAACTAATGTTTAATATAAATATATTAAAGTTTATTATCAATAATAATTATTCATTTATTAACAAAATATAAAAGGTTTAAACTTTTGTTGATGTAAGGACTCAATGGTCTTGTGTTAGTTTTATTTTGTGGATGTTAATTTTATTATCTTTGATTTTTTGTTATGTTGAATATTAAATGTTAATTTGATGATTTATGTAAAAAGACATAATTATGTGAGTGAAGGAACAAATGTATGTTTTTAATGTTTAAATTATTTGTATATTTTATAATTATAAATGAAGTTTACAAATTTTAATATTGTAATTTACAAAAATAAAATAAAATTTTGATTTATTAATCCAAAATCAAACCGGTTTATTCAATTCTATATTTGATTGGTTTGATTTTTTTTTTATGTTTAGTCAATTTTAATAATTTTTTAAAAATGTTTAATTTATTTAATCTTTAAATATTGTAAATCAAGCTACCCCATTTGCTTAACCTATATCTATCCACCGTAACCCATAGAAAGACTTAATTTTCTATCTTTATATTTTTGGCCAAATCTTTGATAATCTTTTGGGGCATCCTCATTTTGCCACGTTTCTTAGCCTTAAAGAAAGGATTTTAAATCTGTGGCAAGACTTCTAAAAGAAAACTCAAATTGCAGGAGGAGACAACGGTGGCTAGGCTTTTCTAAAAAGAGAGGAAATTGGCAGCAGAAGGAAGGGGAAGAGAACAAAAGAAGAAAAGGAAAAAAAGAGAAAGTTGCTCCCAGAAAAGGTTAGGCTGGTGAGGGTGACGAGGCCGGGGACCTAGTAAAGGACCGAGGGTTTAGAGAATGGGTTGGCTATCGCAGCCAGTGGAAGAAGAATAAGAGAGTAAAAATAAAGAAAAGAGATTTTAAAAATATTTTTTTTATAATTTTAACTATTTTTAGTTAAGTTAGGTAAAATTATTTTTAATAAAATTACATGTCATGTATAAAAATATGTTACACGTCATGATTAAATTGTTATACGCTATGTATAAAAATATATGACGTTATAATTAGGTTATTACACGTCATGTACAGAAACATATTCCACGCCATGATTAGGTTGTTACATGTCATATACAAAAACATGTGACACATGATTAAGTTGTTATACGTCATGTATAAAAACATGTGACACGTCATGTACAAATACATGTTACATGCCTAACCTAACATGCTATGTACAAAAACATGTTACACGTCTAGCCTAACATGTCATGTACAAAAACATGTGACACATGATTAGGTTGTTATATACCATGTACAAAAAAATGTGACATGCCATGGTTAGATTGTTACACGTCATGTACAAAAATATGTTACACATCATGTTAAAAAAAATATTACTATTACACATTATGTACAAAAATATGTTATACATCATGGTTAAAAAAGGTTGTTACACGTCATGTTGCAAAAAAAAATACTGTTGTTACACGTCATGTTAAAAAAATATTGTTATTACATGCCATATTCAAAAACATTTTGGTTTACGTTAATGCCTAAACTATTGTTATTATTTACAAACCAAAACTTCAAATCCTTTAAGCTCTTTTTATTTTTTTTTTGACAATTTGGTACCGATTAAAGTTTTTCTAACATGTTTTTATAAATCAAAATACAAATTTTCTTATCTAAAACACCTATTTTGACTAAAAATAAAAAAAATTCTTTGAAAACCTAGGTTTATAAATTTTAAAATTTTGAGTTTACTAGTGTCTAGATCTCGAATTTATCTAATTAAAAGCTATTTTCAAACATTTGTGATCATTTTTACTGTTAAGTTTTATCCAAAATACATAAAAATCAAATTCTCTAAATAGTCATCCACTCAAGCAAATCAAAACTATCGTTTGGTATCTTCAAATTGCTGAAAAGAGAAATCTGAAAGTGCTGAGGAGAGAAATCAAGAGCATAGTAGACGAATGCTGAAAGTGAAATTAATAAAATTAGAGAGTGGGATGGTGAGAGAGAGAAATTGGAAGCACAAATGAAGAAAAATTGTGTTAAATGGTTTAATTTATTTAAAATAGTTTCAAGGGTATTTTTATCAAGTCATAGCTAAATATGGCTAAAAATAATTAAATTTATTTTGATGGTTATTTTTGAAATGCCAAGGGTTATTTCTCATAATTTTCTCCCACTAGGATTAGGTTAAAATTTTGTATAAAAATTAAAATAACATGATTTTATAATGGATGCAAAAAAAAAACCCGGTTCAGGTTTAGTAAGGCGCAGAATGACTATTCATTTTGGGAAGTTTCTTGATCTTTTCTGCAAAATGTTTGATGAGCGATTGCAGTCATGAAAAGTGTTGGACATCATCCTCATGATGATGATTCAAATACTCAAATAAGTGTTTGAAGAATGAAGAAACAGAGATGAAATGAAGAAGATGAGTATATCAGCTTATAAGAAGAAAAAGAAGAGGAAGGATCAAAACTCACCATTTAAATAAAGGCAGAAGCTCAATGCACATCGTTTTTGTTTTGTTTTTAAATTTCAGTTAGGCAGTAATCATTGGTTAGTTACTTAGTGTTTAACTTTACTCTTTCTTTACTAATTGTATACCTGTACATATAAATACTACCATGTAATACCCTGATAGATGGATGAGAGAATACTGAATCATATTCTCACCCATATGTGCTGCTTCTTCCATATTCTCCATTTCTGCTGCTTTTGACATGGTATCAGAGCAAGATTCAACAAACTCTGAACAAAGGTGCTGGATATGGAATAGCTACTGCTGATTCATTTTTGGTAAAGTAAAGTTTTCAAACCCATTCTCTTCTTATATCTGTTGGGTATCGTTATTGTTCAACATCATCATATCTTTAGTTTTTGCATAATCTCTTCATTATTCCTCATCAAGCTTGAGTCATGTCTATGTCTACCGATTCAAATCAATCAAGGTCCCAAAGATCTCAAACCTTATCCCAGATTTCACCAATAGGAGATCCTTAGTCTCCTTATTACCTTCATCACACAGATCATCCAAGATCAGTCATCATTAACCAAAAGCTCACCACAAGTAATTATG